GATAACACTCTGTAGCATGATCCTAAAGCCTCGTTTACGTCTTGGCAATTAAAATATATACTACATTTTATGTCTGTTGTACTTTTCCTATGCTGCAGTGTAGGGCTTTAGTGTTGAGGCTTTTTTATTGTAAAAAAGGTAAGTAACTGGTTGTTTTTTTTTTTTTTTTTCCTTTTCACAACAGTGACTTTATTTCACGTTGCAATAGGTGATGAAGAGGAACTGCTGAAAGGCTGTTCTGGGGAATTTTAAATACAGTGTTGTCGTGGTTTAACCCTAGCCAGCAACTAAACACCAGACAGCCACTGGCTCACTTCCCCTCTCCAGTGGGATGGGAGAGAGAATAGGGAGAGTACAAGTGAGAACTTGTGGATTGAGATAAAGACAGTTTAATAATTGAAATAAAATAAATTAGTAGTAATAATAATAATTTAAAAAAACAATATACAAAGCAAGTGATGCACGATGCAATTGTTCACCACTCACTGACCAATGCCCAGCCAGTCCCCGAGCAACGATTGCTGCCTCCGGCCAACTCCCCCCAGTTTATGTACTGAGCGTGACATCATATGGTATGGAATAGCCCTTTGGCCAGTTTGGGTCAGCTGTCCTGGCTGTGCTCTCTCCCAGCTTCTTGTGCACCCAGCAGAGCATGGGAAGCTGAAAAGTCCTTGACTATGTAAGCACTACTTAGCAACAACTAAAACATCAGTGTGTTATCATTATTCTCATACTAAATCTAAAACACAGCACTATACCAGCTACTAGGAAGAAAATTAACTCTATCCCAGCTGAAACTAGGACAAGTGTAAAACTTCTACTACTGTATCAGTCAGCTTTGTCTGTATCTGAGACTTCAGTCATTGAAGTTCCCACAGTAGCTTTGACACTTGTGTGTGAATATGCCTTGTGCTCTGTTTTGGTGTTTACATCTGGGCTTTCTACAACACAGAGTAAAAGAAAGAATTTTGGTAATTTACTTGTTTTAATTATTAGTTGCATGTACCTTATCTGACTTGGTAATGAAGTATTGTGCTAAATGTGCTAATGATGTCAGATGTCTTCAAAGTAGCCTGGCACGTAAGGGAATGAGCTCTGTGGTCCCAGTGACCTGGTCATGTACAAGAAATGCTTCTCTGGTTCTCCTGCTTCCTTTCTAAATTAAGTTAAAAGAAATATGTAAGTATTAGTTTAAAAAAGGGCATCTCCTCTTTACAGTTTTTAAGTGTTTTTAAAATTTGGAGTGACACTGGAAAGTACAGTCTGACTGAGGCTGCACTCAGCTAAGCTATGTACACAAATAGGATGGGCGTCACTATGTAAGAACTAACATGTCAGTTCTGGTGATTAGCATACACTCTCCTGTTTAATCCAGCCAAGGAGCCTGTAACATTGGACAGATCACTGGAACGGTCACAGGAGATCCCAATGCTCAGTGACACAGATGAGCATCCTCAGTTTTTATACTTAGAAAAGCATTAGACAGAAACTTGAAGTAGTGGCATGCACCAGCAAAATCTTTTTTTATTTTCATCAGTATATGCAGGCCATTTCACGTTAGCATTGTAATACAACATGTAACAGCATTTAGGACGGCTGTTTTGACATCCTGTTGTGAGTGGGTGAGTTAGTAGTTCAATAGCTTTGTAAATATTGCTCTATGAAAATTCTTTCATTTAATTGGAGTGAAGCTATTCGATGGACCATAAATATTGACATGTGGGCAAAAATTACTTGCAGATGAAGGCAAGTGTTTTTGTAACATGTCACAAAATAAATTTAATTTTATTTGGTTTAAATTTTTAATCTGATTTGTCAAAAAAACCTGTTCATGCATCAAATTAGTTGCTGTGTTCCCTTGAGTTTGTATTGTACTCATTACCAATATTTCATCTGAGCTTCTTCTAAGGCATAGTAAAAGAAAGCTAGTCAGTGCATTCGGGTAACTCCCCCTGGGATGCAGCTTTTTTATGTTATAGGAAAGAGTGGAGAAGAAAAAATGAAATATGTTCAAATTTGTGCAACAGTGGTTCATTTAAATCTGAAGATTTGAGTGGGAAAACTTGTTACTATTTTAACTACAGTGATCTTTAAAAGAAAGGAGCTGAGCAGATGCAGTAACTGACAGTTTGGGTTTTTTTTCTTAAAATGTTTTTCTCAATAATTGAAAATAGTTCTCTAAAGTTGGGGGTGAGGGGTGTTTATTAAAAAAGAGGGGGTGGGAATTCATGATGGGACAAGTCAGTCCTGCACAGTCCTGGGACTGTAAAAAATCCCACTGCAGTAATAAGACTTGTGATTCAGATCTTGTGAAATCTGCAAGTCTTCCCTTATTTGACTTGTCATTGCTGGCATAATACTTAAACGTTAACACTGATATCTACTTCTGTATTCTGCAAATATGTTTGTGTTCTCTCTTTCTGTTTGTGTTCTGATCATGGTAGAGAACATTTATTTGCAGACAGATCTTTAAAATAGCTTTTATTCTGTCTCCTTCTTTCAGATATGTGTATTAATTCACTGATGAAATAATTTCAAAGCCATGAGCCTGAGGATGTTAAGTATTTCCTAAAACTTGCTGAGAGATACTATTAATTTTTAAAGTTAAAGGTTACTGAAGGTAAACAGGTGTTTTGTATAATGCCAGATTCAAAAAGATCAGGTTCTTAAATCTTAAAGGATTTTTTTTTTTCCTCCAAAAATGCCCACAAAAAATCCACTAGTCTTCATCATTGTGGCAGTGTAATCAATGTTAAAGTGTCTCTGTAACGTGGTGCTATTAAACAGCTTATATTTTTTTAACCTTTTCATTCTTTGCCTGGAGAGGCAATAGATAACCCAGAAAACTGCCTTTTGAAGTTTTATTGAATTCATTGACTTCCGTGGGAAGCAGATAGCTACTTCCTCATGCTACAGCATAGATTAAATCTTTGAGGATTTTAGCTTGGTATAGTAACAAAGTATTGTGCAAAGAAGGGTTTGGGTTTGGTTTTATTTTTACATTAAAAAGGAGCTTGGAAACTTCAAAAAAAATCAAAATTCTCATCTTTGATGATAAATAGTGTGTGTCAGTTTTCCCATGACACAATTTAGAAACATTAGGAATTAGTGGCCCTTTAAAGTCTTGAAACGCTTAGATGAAAGGGGAGATATGCTTCCACATGAAGTCTTTATGCTGCAAAAGAATACCTGTGTGTGTCTGTTAATAATGATTTTTAAAATCACAATTCAGTTTGGTGTTAATAAAACACAATTTATAAAATGTCTAGAAAATCGTTCTTACATGGAAAGAACTTGCATTCGTTAGTCAATCAAATATTTTAAAATCTGAGTGTTTCATATAAATAAAATAGATGGGCTACATGGGCATGCAGACATCTAAATTGTCATAAATTTAATAAACTACTCAGTTATAAAACTTCGTTTTTTCTGATCATGTACAAATATTTCAGTTTCTTTTTAACCACTTAATATTAGAAAATGTAATAAATGTAGAAGAGAGTTTGCTGTAATGGAAGGCTTTGTAGCTTTGTCTTTTAGTCTAAGTTGAGATTCACACAGGTCAAGAAATGCGAGAGCTTTTTGGAAAATTTCAAAACAGAATGGTAAAAGACCGGCTGCCATTCACAAACTTGAATTACGGTTCTGTATTAAATAATCTCTAAAAATCTTTTCAGGATTGACAACTAATTAGTTTGTTTGACATTAGATGTTTAAAATGAAATAGGTGAAGAGTTCTAAAGCAACCTTGGTTTTGCTGAACAGAGTGCAAATGGAGTTGGCTGTTGCTTTGTGATATATGCTGTAAACTGTCATTTTAATTCTATATCACAAAGGACTCGACTGATAGTACTTCCTAAAATAATCAGTTGTGGTCTTTAAGTATGTTAAATTGAGGAGAGCACCCAAGAGAAAGTTCTCCTTCAGACAAAGGAGAGAACCCTAATATGTAAGGTATTAAACAAGAAATACCAAGGCCTCAGTTAAGGTGCAGTTGCAAAGTATTAAAATCATCCGAACTGTTCTTCATTTAGATGTTTTGTCAGCTGTTTAAAGATAGAAATTATATTCTTTATTTTATTTTAGCACTTTTCTTTAAAAAACAAAAGCAAAATTTCCAAACTATTTCTTATCTGTCAGAAATGTGGATATTTTGGTTAAGTGTGCAGGACCCAAGAGATGAAACTGAGAAGCGTTGTACTGAAAACTAAATGGAATGAAACAGTAAAGAAAAATAAATAGTAATAGAAATAAGATTCTTACTGTAATATTCCTTAAAAACTTGAGGGAAGGAAAAACTATTTCTGGCTGTCATTTAGAAAACAAATAGTTACTTGCATTCTAGCACTAGTTATATAGAATATGCTGTCTTGGAGAAGTCTTCCTGCATATCACCTATAACGTTTTTGTAACTTGCTGTGAAATTATGTGTATATGTTCTTGATGAGAACAATTTTCTTAGAATAGAAATGACAATAAAAAGTTGTAGAAGTCTGTATATAAAAAACCAGACATTAAAACAAGAAGTTTCTGACAAGCAGAAGGAAGTCAGACTTGCCATTGAAGCATGCATCCTTCTCAGAAAAAGAGAAAACAACTTACCTACAGATAGACTTTAGGCAAGTTAACACGTTCTTAAAGCTGCAAAGCTACGTTTTTACCTCCCAGTTCTCAGTCTGCTTTTGATCTTCTAATCTGTTGTATAAAAATGGGAAGTATTGTGTTGTCGTTCACAGGAATTTCTTTGCTAATTTTTTTGATCAGGGTAGCTCGTGCATGAAGCTCCGGGAAGTCTTGCAAATGTTACAGAAGTGCGTCTCACCCATCGTTGATCAGATCTTTCTTTCTCTTCCAGACAGTTACGAAGCAATCACAGCAATTAGAGAACATTGTAACACATCAGCGGTTGTCTTTCTAATTTTGTTATAGGTGAATGTAAGCTGAATGTAGAGAAGACTTCCAAATAAGCTGGACTGATGTGCACAGAGAAGGAATGAAGTATGGATGTGAAGGAACGTAGGCCTTATTGCTCCCTGACAAAGAGCAGACGGGACAAGGAGCGGCGCTATACAAATTCTTCCGCAGAAAATGAGGAGTGCAGAGTGCCTACGCAGAAGTCTTACAGCTCCAGTGAAACCTTGAAAGCTTTTGATCATGATTCCTCTAGGTTGCTGTATGGAAACCGGGTAAAAGACTTGGTCCACAGAGAGGCAGATGAGTATACCAGACAAGGTAGGTGAGATGTTTTAATTTAGAGTGTATAATTCATTAGTACCAAGTAACAAGGCATTCTTGCTGCGGGAAGAGTATGTTATTATACCAGTTTCATCAGTTTTAGTAATACTCTACACACATCGTTGTGTCTCCCTAAATGTTTTACAAAGATGGGAAAGCATTGTGTACCATCTTGGAAATAAATAATATATGATGCACAGGAAAGTTAAGTAAACGGCCCATGTTGGGCAATGGGTCAGTGACAACATTGCAGACTCAAGTGTGAAGTATTCAGGCCTTACAGTTTAAAAACTAGACCCTCAGCATAAATTCAACTCATTAACAGATTGCCCAGAAGTTTGTCACTCCAATATACCTAAAATGTAAATAGCTTCAAAATGAATAAAAATAAACAAATACAACTGTTCCAAGAATGCCAAGCCCTATGAACAGGTTTGGGGAAATGTAGTACTTGTAGATGAGCATACAAGTAATGCATTAGCTCATTGCCTTTATCTTTTAGCTCACAAGGGCAGTAAAAGAGCACTGTACAGTGAGTAAGGTAAATTAGTTCATGATTAATGCATTTGGGTTTGTTGGGGGATTTTTTTAGTGGATACCTAACCAGATGCTAACAGGTTGCTAGAGCCCACTGTTGAATTTCTAAGTCCAGGACTGGAGAGATATGAGAGATCTAAATATCCATGGAGATGCTCAAAACCTGACTGGATGTGGTCCTGGGCAACTTGCTGTAGCTGACTGTACTTGAGCAGAGGGTTTGGACTCGATGATCTCAAGAGGTCCCTTTGGACCTCAGTGATTCTGGGAGATTGCACTTGACTCCAGTTAGGGTTAAGCACTTACGCATCACTTTGGGATTCAAAACTGTAGTCTCTGGAATTGGCATTTCTACATTTCCACAACTAAACTACTTAATATAAGGAGGGGGGCCGGGGGGAAGTTATGAAATGTGTGGAGTACTGTAGCCCAGCTATCTAAAAGGATGAAGCTAGGCCAAGAGCTGTGTGAACCTACACCTCAGTCTTCTGTATAAAGCTATCTTCTCTTTTATGAGGAAACAAGAATAGATTTAGGGGTAGAAAAAGAAAGCTTCCTCCATGTGAGGAAGTCCTTAGTTTTAATTTTAGAAATGTTTAAAAATATTTTCCCTATTGGTGGTTTTTCTTTGTTCCAAGTAGAATAACTTTACATTAGAATTAGAGCTGGGCAGATGGTGTTGACTTTTTTGCCTACAAATGTTTGCAAGGGAAATAAAAATATTTCTCTTAAGCTCATGTAACTGTAGGCTGTCTGCTTTCTGCTATGTATTTTTGGTTTCTGTGATGTGTTGAAACTTCAGGTCATCACTATGTTCTAGTTTTTAAGTTACTAGTCACCTTGATCTCATTACTTTAATGAGATAAAATCAAGAGGAATTTTTTTAAGACCTGTACTGTAGGCATTTTCTTAGTACTAGTGACAGAATTATATCAAAATAGGCACCATTTATTTAATGAATTCATAAACTATTGCCTGAATAGAGTACTGTTCTTTTTAAATAGCAATAACGAAATGGAAGAAGTTATGTAGTCTAGCATGTCACATATGATGGTGCACTGGGGCTTGGGGTTTTTTTCCTCTTCGTTTTCTTCAGAAAAGCACATAATATTTAGCTAATACATGTTGCCCAATATGCAATAAATTACACATCTGTAGGCTTAAAATGGCAGTCTGAGATGTGTAGTGTCATCTTCACCTTTCAGTGGTCCCATCACTGTCATCTGTGCCCATTTGATTTTCCTTATTTTCCTTTCAGTTCTTTTTGCATGGCTTATTGGCTTCTTCTAATGCATGCTGGTTTAGCACCTTCGGGGACTACCTGCAGGTTTGATAGGGGCAGGTTAAAAGGGCTTGTTTTGCAGTCTTACATAGTGTGTTCCTTTGATTCATCTTTGACTGAGAGAATTTACTGCTTCTGGCATTGGAAGCATTTTGTGGAAGAGGTGTTCAAGGTCATTCCAAAGGTTTTAAAATAATATATAAAACACACTTCCCTGTATTTATTTTTTTTCCGCTCTCTCTAGAAATAGAGTGCAGATATGTGGCTTTGACAGTCTAATTACGTTCTAGCCTGGTAAATAAATCTACAAGCAAAAAAGGCAAGTTTTAATAAATGCCTTTAATTGGAAATTAATTTTTAAAATTAATCATGACCAGTGTTTCTTCCCCACCATCCTTCCCCTCCAGACTATGTAAAATAATAATATCAAATTTCCAGTGTCCGCTGGAAAACTACTGGAGCAGTTACGTGCATTTCTCAAGTCTCTCAAATGTGGCACAATTTAAAAATGTCAGTGTGTTTTTATGGCTAATATTTTGGGGTAAAGCCCTTCAAAGCTTTCTGCTAATGGATCAGAACTTTCCCACCTCTTCTTCCTGAGTTGTTTCAGTACACATCTTCGTGCTTCCTGCTTCCCAAAATCCCATGGTAGGAATTCAGAAAGGGACGCTGCCATAGAGATAGGTGTGCCCTGTTCAGTGGTAGCTTTATCCCAGGAGATCTTTGCTTGTGGAGAGGAAGTTCTCCAGTTGTCAGTTCTAGTCACAGAATCTTTTTCCTTGTCTGTTGTATTTCTGTTGTTTGAGATTAATTGTATAAAAAGAAATAAGAGCCAAAAAAAGCATATGTTTGTCACTGTAATTCTAAAAACAGCATTTAAAACGTATAGTAAAATATTTGAACATGAAATTATTATATAACTGGGATTATCTTGTTAATTTTGAAAGCCAGTTGAC